CTGCTGGAGTGTTGTCACTCCAGGACAAGGCAGCAAGGGAGGTCCCTGGACTTGATAAATGAGCACAGTGCCATCAGCTTGCCATGAAAAATTATGAGCTAAGTTATGAAACTTGTGTCAAGATCAGCACACGTGCACACAACAGTTAGCATATTGTTCTGCCTTGCACTTGCTGATGTCCTTCAGGTGTTCTACGCCAAGCCTTGATTCATTGCTACTGAGCATTGGGCTCCTCTATAGGCGTGTCTACTTGTGGCTACTTAGTCCAGACTTACATCTACTGGTGCTACAAAAGTGGTTGTTCTATTGATAAACAGGGTGTATTTTTCTTAATTTTCACCAAGCCAAGACATCCAAAGGTTCAACACCCTCCTCACTGTACCAATCAGTTCTCTCAGTGATGGGTTGATTTATGCGAATGCTACAGTCAAAGTAACTCAAGTGCATTGTTGTCAGTCATGAATGATCAATTGATGCCAATCTTTTAATCAATCTCCAAAATCCTGCACTTTATTTTTGTAAACACAAAGGTGTATAATATAAACCTTCCTTGACTTGTAGTTTCACATATTCACCATTTTCCTATTTTTCTGCTGCTGAGTGTCTCTATACGTTATCTGCAAGATTTTACATTTTTGTTTCTCCTTTGTGTTTTGCTGTCTAACTCTCCAGAAAAGAATCAGTACTGAAAAGACTTCTCCAAGGTAATAGGGAGTACAGTGTTCAAAAGAAATAAAGTAGCATTGCTCAGAGATCTGAGAACCTGTGTGTGAAGCAGCGCACACTGAAGCCAGTAACCTGCTGACACAGGCTGTCCTCTTTTATTTGCTTTCAGTGAGATTTTCTAGGTGCTCAGCATCACACAGAATATTGATTGATGCATGGCAAATGAGTGGGAAAGCCAGTAAAACGTTCTCTGCACAGCAGTTTGATCCATTTCATAAAACCTGGTTTGGATGAATCCACTATGTAACTGGAGCCGTATGGGTTTCCCACAGTGATACCTGAAGCTAAGAACAGTTTATAAATAAGAGGAGGTCATTTAGGTCATCTAACCCATTTGGTAGTTAGTGGGTAGTTGATCTAAGGGACTTATCCAACTGTTTCTTTAAAGAAACCGAAATGTAGATTTCAAGAATATGGTTTGGTAGCGTGATCCATATTTCCACAACCATTTATGTAAAGAAGTGCCTTCTGATCTTAGGTTTTGGATGCCCAGTCATGTAGTTTTCCCTTGTCTGTTAGTGCAGAACAATGCTTTAACCCCTGAATGTGCAACTAAAGTCAGTCGAATTTGGCCTATAGTCGACATTTTTATGGAGGTGCACTATGTTAGGAGTTCTCTACACCATTGGTACGACTGCTTTTTTTGTAGCTTTCAACAGTTATAGCTTTACAGAGAAAACATCAATTAAAAAAACAAAAACCCTTTGTAAATTACTCACTTATCTCTCGTCAGGAAGACAATGCGGATTAGGCAATGTGACTTCTTGTTAGGAAATGTTACAGAACCGCAATAAGTGTTGCCTTATAGGAAGATATTAGCTGCTCTTGAGATGAGCCTTATTGCCAAGGTTTTTTTGCAGTGTGATGAAATAAGAGTTTTGCTTCAGAGCCTACCAGTGCCTTGAGGGCTCTTACATAAACGTTTGGCACCCAAAACGTGCACCCTTGTCAGATTGTGAAGGAGCACATACACCCTTCTTAAAAGTGGGCCAAGGTGATATTGTATAAATAGAGAGCGTAGGCTGTGCGGGGCTGGGCCCATGTGACGTTTCATAGGCGCTACCAAGCCGCTCCCTATCCCACTTCCTGTGGGAAACAATCCACGGCTTGTCTGAGCACTAAACCTGCAGCATGGGCCAAGTCTGGAAGCCTTAGGGCTGCCGAGCTTTTTTGGCTGGCCCTGGATAAGACTGTGACATCACCACCACTCCTCAAAAGCCACTGCGGCCCTCATCAGCCCAGTGCAGGTGATTCTCGTATGATCTCCAGGGGCTTCTTTGAAACAAACATCGTTTACTAGGCTTACTCTCTTGACTAGCTACAAAAAGTTGTTCCAGTAAGTGCTTGTACGGAAAGGGTTAAATGTATTGGGGCAATGTGAAGAAAATTTTAAAACATCTGTACCATGTGCTGCGAGAAACGAGCTAAAGGAAATTATTTTATGATTTTAGAGGAAGTGTGGACAGTATGCAAGCAAAAGCTCTGTTTGTTTGAAAATTCCAGAAGCGGATTTAGGACATTTTTTTCCTCTCATGCCGATGAATTGCTGTCAAAGCAAAGACAGCACCACAGAATTAGAGAGAACATGTAAGCAGAAATGCCACAAGTAAAACATAATACTGTGAAGGCAGTACAACAGAGATGACACTTTTGAATACAGAAGCAGTTTATTGACCTTTCTGAAATGGTAGACCCATCTTGTGAGCAAAGGATATAGTAGTCTCAGAATATTAGCTGACCTGAACATGACTCTCACAAGATAAACCTTAGGCCCTGTTTGTTTCTTATTTACCTTCAAAGGAAGACTATTGTCAGAATGTTGATTGACAGGGAGTCCCAGGATAGGGCACTCCCTCTTGTTGCTAAGTTACTGAGAAGCATTTCCTATTTTTAGTGCCTTCTGAGCCCAGGATTCTCCACCAAAGGCTGCATTTGCATTGCAGTAAATAGACTACAGCCATGCTGATAAGATTATTTTAACTATAAAAAGTCATGCTTGAAAGTTTGTAAATCCATTGCATAATTTGAGAATGTTTTTTTAACAACAAAATGTATATTTAATCAGAATTTGTCACTTCCTAATTGAAATAAAGCATAATTATTCACCAATTTGAGTGTTTTGAAAGAAAATGTCCATGCAGCAAAATAATACACACAGTATACAGAAATTGTGCAATGTGCAAAAATAAGTGACTTACATCAAGGTGAAGCAGGGTCAGGTGTGTCAGTGACAGAGTGTTAACCAATTAACTGGGATAACCAATGAAATTGAAGATCTGAAATGTGTTAGGGAGGAGCAAACAAATAATTGCAAGAAATCAGGTCACTTACTCTTCCTACGAGTCTAGCATCATGCCTCGAACTAAGAAAACATCAGCAGAACTGAGTAAAAAAGTAGTGGATGCTCATCAATCTGGACAAGGTTATAAAGCCATTTAAAAAAGATTCAGACTCCATAAATCCACTGTTTGGCAAATAGTATACAAGTGGAGGGCATTTAAAACAATGGCAACCCTGCCAAGAAGTTGTCGTCTTCCTAAAATTTCACCCAGGGCCACCAGGAGAATAATAAAAGAGGTAAAAGATCATCCTAAAATAACATCCAGGGATCTACAAGCATCCCAGCTACCTCTGCTGTAGTGGTGCATAGATCAACAATAAGAAGAACCCTGAACCGAAGTGCCATCTTTGGAAGGGTCGCCCGGAAGAAGCCTCTTCTGTCAAAAAAGAACAAAGCTGTCCGTCTGAAGTTTGCTAGACACCACCTGGACAAAGCCTGAAGAGTTCTGGAAGTCTGTTCTCTGGACAGATGAGTCCAAAATTGAACTATCTGGACAGAACAAGAGCACCCATGTTTGGTGAAGAGCCAACACAGCCTACCATCAAGAAAACCTTATCCCTACTGACAAGCATAGTGGTGGGAGTGTTCTTGTATGGGGCACTTTTTCTTTGGGTAACTTGACATCATTGAGGGAATCGTGAATTCTGAGAAATACCAAGGAATTCTTGAGAAGAATGTCAGGCCATCAGTTCAAAAACTCACAAAGTGGGCACAAAGTGGATGTTTCAACAAGACAATGATCCTAAACATTCAAGTAAGTCCACTAAAGAATGGCTTAGGAAGAAGAGGTTCCGTGTCTTGGAATGGCCAAGCCAAAGCCCTGACCTGAATCCTATTGAAATGCTGTGGCAGGACCTGAAGAGGGCTGTTCATGCAAGACATCCTTCAAACCTCGCAGAGCTGGTGGAGTTTTTTTAAAAGAGGAGTGGGGAAAAAATCCCTCAGCAAGATGTCAGAGACTGATAATTGGTTATAGGAGGCGACTGTGTGAAGTTATTGCTGCTAAAGTAGGTGCCATAAGTTATTGACTGAAATTTCATTTACTTTTACACACAAGAATATCTGGTGATTTGTTAAATATCACAGTCTAATAATCTATGAGTTCAATCCCTTTTTATGTGTGGGAAGTCTTTACTTGGAATATTCATTAAGAGTTCAGGTTCATATAATATCTCTATAATATCTAAAATAATGACCACCTTGAAGAGTTCCCAAACTCTCAAGCATGACTGAAGATTAAGTTCTACAGTCTACAGTTAAGGGCTGTTCAACTTAATACTAAATTTTTGTATAGCTTAAAATCCCTGCAGTCTGCAAAAAAAAAGGCTTCCACTCTCATGGATGTTTTGGTATAATGAGAGTTGAATTTATATACTACATTACATAAATAGGTTTTATTATATTTCATGTTGATAACTAATTTCATCCATCCTCAGTTATCCCACCGAGTATAGTAGCCTGTTATTGTCTAGGATATCTTGCCACTGGAAAAAGAAAATTGAAGACAGTTTTAGAAGCTACAGGTTCTTGTGCTAATAAAGAAGAAAAGTAGCATGCATTTTCACTGCCTTTCTGTAAAACACAGAATTCTGTGCTGCATTGCTCTGTCAAGTAAATTGTCCTCCGTATACAAAAACTTTCCAGGCCAACTCCCAGCTTAGTTATTAAGTAAAAAAAACATAACACATTTTGCTGTGTCTGCCCCCTTTCCTGTGTCTGCCAGCCACCCGGAAACCAAACAGTAGATCTGTAGAATATTAGAGGAATTCATTAAAAATGTTATAAAGATAACTGCATGACTTAAACAAAGGCAAACTTGGCTATGATCAAAATTACATTTAACATCAGCCTAGAAAGTTCTGTGTGCTTTGAAACGAAGCTCTTCTTTTCACTCTCACGCAATTTCACTGATGGTGGGGTCTTGATATTTTAGGTACAGTAGTGTGTTCCCAAGCCTGAACATGGCCGTGAAGAGGCGGGAGCAGGCTCTTCAGGACTACAAGAGACTGCAGTCTAAAGTGGAGAAGTATGAAGAGAAGGAAAAGACAGGCCCTATGATGGTCAAGCTGCACCAGGTCAATGCTCAAACACAGAACATAAAAGAACCATACATGCTTGACACACAGTTTTTCATACCCTTATACACAACTGTTGAACTGAGTAGTGCGCAAAAATGTAGATTACTCATAAAAGGAAATGTTGAATGGATATCCATATTACATCACAATTCCATTTCAAACTTCACAATTGCCACTTGGATGTGTTAATACAACAGAAAAGCAAAATACTTGTATATTTGCATGTGTATGTTTGCTGAACTTTTGGACGTTTGGAGTACGTGTACGTTTGGAGGTTTGTGTATATTCACATAGTTTTCAGTTTTGAAAGGCACACTTAGCTGTACTGAACTGGGTCTGATACATACCCTGGTGAAGCAAAGATACAGCACACGCATTAAAGCGCTACGCTGTTACAGGCTTACACTGCCCATACTCACAAACGCCAACAGAGTTTCACTCACACACGCCCACACGCATGCGGAGGCATTCAGCTTCGTCACGCACACAGACGTAATGAGAAAATCCTTCTCAGTCACTGCACTCTCTTTGCCACAGTCATGTAGAAAGTTCATTGTATTTACAGCCCTCTTTGCAAGTTATGCACCAGACTGACAGTGTGCTAGTTAACACATACTGACACGGCTTGTACTGCCTACAGGCACGCAGTGGGCAGCCACACATTGATACATTGGTACAAATAAATATTCAGGCAGAAACGCACAAAGACATGCAAGCATGCATCCTTGCAAATATTTCTAAATCGGCCTACTGTCAAGCATTGCATACTAACACCCCCAGTCACACACACACACAGGCACTTCAAGTACTGCTTACTGAAATCCTCTGCACGCCAACACAGACACTTCCCTCAGAACAGGACTTTGTAGACGAGCACTGATAACACTACCTACAGACACACCCCCATTGCCCCTTTCCCACTTGCACAGGCTGATCGTGAGTTTTCAAGATGCTTACCCCTCTGTGCTTTTGACAATTTTTCTGTTTTACTTTTGTTTTGGCAAGACCTTACTGGGTAGATCTCATACATTTCCACCTCATTAAACTATCTTCTGGCACTAAGTTTAGCTGGTCCCTAACTCTAAACATGGGACCCATGGTACACCAATATTAGCAAGACAACTTTTTATTTTGTTGTTTTGGGTTTAGTTATCCATTACAACAGAAAACAAGGTGGCTGTTTTGCACATATTTCCCTCTGATCCAAATCCTCTTTGGTCACCTAAATCCTAACCAGTCACCTATAACACCACAGGACGTTGTGTTCCTCTGCATTCCTTTCAGAATAGTTCAGAAGACATTCTCACACAAGTGCATAATTACAGTTTTTTTCCCCAAAAAATCCCACTGGTGTTTCTACCCCCAGGCCCGAGAAGAACTGAGACCAGTGAGGGAGGATTTTGAAGCCAAGAATAAGCAGCTGTTGGACGAGATGCCCAAGTTCTACCAAAGCCGGATTGACTACTTCCAGCCTAGCTTCGAGGCCCTCATCAGGGCACAGGTGAGCCTATCAGAGCTGAATCCAGAAGCAGGGCTGCTCTCCAAAAACAAAAGAAAAGACTAAGCCTCATAACATGCCAGTGTGGACAAAAACATTATCCTCATCCAGTATGTACAAGGCTTGCTGTGTTACAATTAACATGCTCCATAGCAAATACATACTTAACACAGCACCAAGCACGAAACAAAGAGAAGCACACTGGTAACAGATAACTGATGGTCATAGTGATGCTGATGGTTGCTCAGAAGTATATTTATACCACAGTTTTGGAGGCTGTGAGAATAGCAGGCACTATGTGTTGGGGTGCTCATTGCACATTAGAAAGAATTTGCATTTTTGAGTGGTATGTGCCAGTTTTTGATTTTTATATTCGGTCTTAAAAATGCATTTAACATGATTTTTTCTGTAGTACTTTAATCTGTATTGGTTCTTTGTTGATTTACATTTTAATTAGTTTCACCAGTGGTGATCTGAGGGAGTCAGAAATAAGAGACTTTTCACAGTTGAGATTTTTTTTCCCTAATGATCAATGAAGAACATGAAGCTTTTGCCCATGACTGTAAATTATCTTGTTGAAAATTAAAAAAAAAAGATTTACTTAGCCAGAATAATGTTCTCTCAAAAGGTTTAGGTTAATCGCTGACAGTGACAAGATTTCATACAAATAAGTTAATTTAAATTATGGAATGTCTGCTTTTCCAGTTTTTTGTAGCTGTTGTGGGGGCAGTTCTAGTTATCCTGAATGGTGGATTATCGGCATTTGGTGACTAAGACACTACTAAAATGTCAGTGTGGGAATTCTCGCTGTCAATGAACAGCTTTGTGATAAAAATGATATTTTTTATTAATTACACAGCACGCTTTTTTTAAAAGAACCCACCTTTTTGTACGCTCTGCTAGTGAAATTTAAACAAAGGTTTCAATAGAGAAAAAAGAGTGATGTCTCTAATGCTTTGATAGTAACTCTTCAGTGATCTTGCTGAAGTGGGTATGAAATGGTTTGTCAGACCTTGTTTTTAAAAACATCCATTGGCAGTTCAGTCTAGAAGTGAGTGCTTTGATTAAACTAAGATTTATACATTTGCGCTATCATCCAGTATAGCCACTGTTATTCTGGTATGGATCTTGAGATGACTGACTGGTCACCAGAGAGATTAATTTTGTTAGCAATGTGTTACGGAGTGTTACTTTCAGACATTTAGGTGTGCATTGAATCCCACTGCTGGAAGACAGGGTATATAATAAAATGGGAAAGTGAAGCAGCTTGCAATAAATACTTTAATATTTTTTAGTAATGGTGAGTACTTTATTGATGTTCAGAGAGGCAAGCTTTCCAGTGACACAGTATTTCCAGTGATTGATCTGCATGTTTAATGGCCTGTGCACCCTTTTAATTTCTGTTCATTCAGAAAGTGGCAAAAGCGTAAATATGGCATTGCACTGCTGTGCTTAGGAAGTTATGCAACTGTAAAGTTCCAAAAATCAGTCTGTGACTAGTGGGAAAGAGCTCACTTTTTTCACCTTTGGATTAAAAAAAAATAATTATATTAATAAGGAATTATTTTAAATTTATATTTACTTTAATTATTGGTCTTCTGAAGCTGATTCTTTTTTTTCCAATATGGGTGGACAAAAAAATTACCTTACAATTCAAGGGTCTAGCCCCGTGTAGGAGTCAAGCTGAAATTCATGCAACTGAGTGGAATCAAGTCACACAGATTGAGGAGTGAGTCTCGGTAATTCAGGTCTTTTTTTTGCCAGAGTTGTAATGAGATTAGATCTCAGTGAAGTAGAGACCAGCCCCTCCATAGGCTTGACCCCTTTTCCAGGAACACACACACTTAGGTGGCTTAGCTCTGCAGGAGCTACTTGGAAGCAGTAGACAATTCTTTCTGGAGGCCCATCACTACCTCAGAATACCACCACGGAGATAAGCCAGCCTTTGGATTTTAGATCACTTTAACAAGCTCATCCATTGAAAGTCAGTCTGCCTTCTGGCAAAGCGGGTGCGAGTTATTTCCTGCAACAAGAAGTCGCGTCCATAAGGAGCTTATGTTGTCGGGACGTCATGGGACCTTAGGCAGGAAAGTAATGAGTCAGTGTTTTGACAACAGTTCACGTCCAATTTATCTTTTTGCTAAACTGGGTGATAACGTGATTTTCTAAACACTTAGAACGGTAAGAAGTAAAATGGCAGTGACCAGCACCTGGTCCAATAGAGGCTTTAGAAAATATGAAGTATGCGATCTTTAATGCAGCCATTCACAGTGTGAGGATCCTGCTGTGACAAGTGGTGGTGTCACCCTTATGAAACTACTTCACCGGACCATGGAAATACCATGATATAATATAGTACATATCCCTTAAGAACATTTAGACTGTTGTATTCAGGGTTATTCCCATTGCCCGCTGATAACATCTTAAAACAACAGGAAACCACTACAAAACTGTGTTGAGCCCACAGCAAAAGTCAATGCTAAAATTACCAAGGTAAATTTTCATTTGGGTATTTTCAAATGTAATCATGGGGGTTAGCAGTAAATTATATTTGCATGTTGTTAAAGATGTAAAAATATGAAAACTCTTAAATGGTTCTTATTGCCTTTGTCTTGCATGCAGCCATTTTTGTATTGTATATTTTGTCCTACATATGCAATTCAGTGTGTGTTTCCTTAGCTTGTGTTTTTTGAGGCCATCAGTAGGTGCTATTAATAATGTGAAGTTTCTCAAAGTGAATTCATTGCAATTTTATGTACTGTGGTATAAGTCACTGATTGTTGTATGGCTTTTTAACTTTTGACTCCCGAACAGTCAGGTTTGGTTTTTCAGAGAGATCAGATTTGTGGGGACTGAGGCTGTTTTCACTCCTTGAAAAATCATAGTAACAGGCTGAAATATTTGTGAATTTCTGTTTCTTGTGTAAGGGTTTTTGGACCTAATTCTCTGCTTCTAAAGCCCTGTTTTGGAATCTGGTATGGAATGGCATTTAAAACTCACTAAAGTCAAATACTCTCTTGGCTACTTTTTTAAAATAAAAAAGGTAGTTTCATAGTGAATAAATGAGCAATGTCTGAGGTAACTGAACAGATAACTACTAAGGTCCCTGCTAATCTACTTGAAGACAGATTTCACAATCCCATCCAGTTCGTCAGGGGAGTCCCACAAGGTCCTGTTTTAGGCACGGACCCTTGCTCCAATTACATCCACAGTATTGCCCAGGCAATAGGCAATTCCCATGGTCACCTCTGTGCAAAGTAACACTTTGACCTAATTTATTATCAATAATGACCAACTTTCTACTAGGATGAGGCAAAATGCAGCAATCGTTTTCTCCCAGTAACAATGACAAAATTTGGAAGTTCCAAGTTGGAACATGACAAGATTGATAAATATCTAGGGTTTTGTGTTATGTGTAGTAACATTCAAAACTCATGTTAATAAATAACTAACTAATATCAAGTGAAGACTTGGTTTCTTTTATCACAACAAATCTTGTTTTATACATTCCCCTGGTTGTACAATAATCAAAATGCCTGTACTCACTATTGTGGATGATGGTGATGATGTTTACATAATGGCGTTTAAAGCAGTTTTTGGCATATGAGATGTCCGTTCTGCCTCAAGAATTATCAGTGCTGCCATGTCTCACTTCCACCATTGGGCTCTTAACTCTGATTGGCCTCTCTGTGTACTAGGTAAATGCTTCACTAGTTTATTTCCTCGTCTTTGTTTTTAGGAAAACATTTACAAAACATTTCTGAATTGTATTGCAATTCTTTTTTTTCCGTCTTTCAGTTTAAGATGAAGCATCTTTTTTAAGCATAGATCTTCCAGAGCAGTATGTTTTTGTAAGACAACCAGAGGTTTTTCTGTTGGGTACATTTCAATATTATTTTTTCCCTCTTTCTGTCCGAGTTTCCAAATGTTTTTCATTTGTATCGGAAAGCCAAACTTGAAGTTTCAAGTGGCTAAGCCTGGATTTAGTCCTTATAAATTACCTTGAGACAGATGTTTCCAGTTCTTCGCTTCTTAACATACATCCTTTGTGAGGGAGAAGAAAGTTTACTTCTTTCAATCAGCTCTTACTAATGTTTTGTGGAGTTAAAAGAGTACCCTTGTACTCTTGATGGATCTGTGATCTAGGCAGCAAAGGGCCACATTCTCAAGGTAAGATGCTATATCTGTTGAGGCTGGTGTGTGAGTTTGAAAGGAAGAGACTAGGTGGGGGAAAGCAAGTGGCACATCTTCCTGAATCAGCCAGCTATCTGGAGCTCTCAAGACCTGCTGACAGATCTGCTGCCCTCATCCGTGCTTCAACTCTTTTGCCCATAAGGGCTATTGTGGGGCCGGCAGCCTGTTAATTGAATTCCTTGTAAAACACTCTCTTTGCCCAAAACCTGTGTCAGTTTGGTTGTTGTATTGTCTTCAGTAGGATTCTTCAGACCAACCTAAATCTTTTTTTTTCAAGGGCTCACAAAAGAGTAATGTTTAAGAAGTGAAAACTATATTGATATTTCAAAAACTACCTGCTGCATTATTCAATATTTCCTTCTTAATTAGGTCTTTGCATATTCTTCCCACACTGAAAGACAAAATTAAATTATAGTTGATTGATGTATCATCAACTAAAGTAAAATAATAAGCAGAGATGGGCTGGTTTATAGTATTGATCCTCAGAATACTTTAATGCATTTTGTGCAGAGAATAGCAATAACAGAAATTAATCAAAAATAACCTTTTTTCTTAGATGTTCAGCATAACATCCCTTGGTTTAATTTTCACAGTTTGGTGTATACCTAAGCGTTCTGTTGGCAAAGAATTATCTAGAGAAACAGATTTCTTTCATATGTAGCATCCCGCTGCTCAGAATTACCTACAGTATGTGACTAATGTATGTCCCTACTTCCTGAGCGAATTGCTTTATACTAAACAATTTTTAACATTTAACATTTGAGAATTAACTTTTTATAAAGAAACTTATCAGAAACCTTTAAACTTTC